ACATTTTTAAAAAGTACTCTAAACTGTATAAATACAATTGTAAGTAATTGACCAATCAGAAGAAAGTTATCCTATAGTGTAGATTTATCAATCGTAAATTAAGTTTTTTAGTTTATCTTGTAAATTCTTTAATAAGTTTGGTTCTTTGGTAATAAATATTAAATTTACCCACTTTACGCGTATCTACCTATTTGTAACCATATGTGCTAAATTTCTTTACGTGTATTTATTTATTTTTATATGAAGTTTTTTTTCGTTTTCTCTAGTAATATTTACGATAAATCTTTTTAAAAATTGTATATTTTGATTGGTTAATTATCACGGAAAATCACGGGTAGATCTACAAAAATTAACCAATCAAACGATGACGTCCGGTCTGACTAGCTATTTCAACTCTAAATTTGGTACGTTACGCGTTTTGAAAATGGCATTCTCGTCAGTTAACGATTTGACTGCTAGGCTTGAAAAGCTGGAACAAAATATCACTTTGACATTACAGGAAATTGACAACAATTTTTCCAGATGTCAACATAAAGTATCTACTAGAATATTACCACAAATCTCGCGTTTTGCAGAAGTTTCGGAGGATATTTGGGAAAACTCCAAGGTAATGATTATTAGTGGCTATGTTACAGTAATATACGCGATTATTTGAAGTCAGTATAATTAGTTAATTGAAATTTTTTAATAGTTATGGTGGTCCTTCTTTGAATCTCTAGATTTATCTTCTTCAAATGATAATTTTTCACCACCATCGATGGAAGATTTCGATAATTCCAATGGCAAAAAAAAGTGTGATGAGATTTTATCAAACGCGACAAACAATAATAAGACCACTAACTCGAGTATCTACCCACCTGCTAAAAATAATAACTCTCCACTACCTTTGATGAAAGATTTCGATAATTCTAATGGCAAGAAGAAGTGTGATGAGATTTTATCAAACGCAACGAACAATAGTAAGACCACCAATTCAAGTATCTACCCACCTTCTGCGAAATATCTTTCTATATCATCGACGCCATTACAGGATCCACCAAAGTTGGAGCACAAGTTACTACAATCACTAGCTTGGGGTGAAAAAATTCCAAAGAAGAAAGGGTCGGGTGACCTTTCTCATGGCACCAGCTCTACTTACATATCTATGCCAGCTTTACCGCCGTCCGATCGTAGACCAAATACGTTGATAGAACGCGTGATGCAAAGGCAACAAATGTTGGCCAAACAAACACCACTAAGACCTATTATAGAAAAAAATCCATATAAAGGAGCAAACTCTCGTCCAGGCTCCTATTTCCCTGGTGGTCCACCATCGTCCCGTGGTACTGATAGTGACTTTGCCGAATTCTCACCACCAGTCACGATCCAATTTTCAGTTGCACCGTCAAAGTTACTGAAAACTCCGGCGAAAGAAGCTGCCAAGATTATCGTTGATGATCTTATAAGCATTCTAAGTCCAGTTCCACCAACTCCAGTTAGCGTAGATGAGGATGGATACTGTACTGTTAAATCCAAGACCTTTTCTAACGTGTTGGATTCCAAAATCCTTCCAGGTTTTCACTTGGCTTCGTCACCAAGCGTTCAAAATAACTTTAAAGATTATATTTTATGTAATGATGAACAAGACGACGAAAATGATGATGATGGATTACGAGAAGATGATACTTTCTTTAACTGCAAAGCAGCGATTTTAGCTAGGCAACAACAACAGGACGTAGGTGATATGTTTTAGGTAGGGTTTAATAAAAGTTCATAAACAAAAAAGCCCAATCTATTTATAAAAAGTTTAATTCGCGATTCTTTTCATAAACTATCAGTTACAGGACATGTCCCCTTTGGATGACTTACTTATAGGTCAAATGAGATGATGTACTACAATTTTATATATAAAATTTACAAAAAAAAGCATATTTCTTTAATTTTTTCAGAAAGATAAATATGAAACATAACTTTAAATTTTAAATATATATTCTTTTAGCATTTTATAATTTTTTGATTAAAGTTACAAGTTTTAATACCAAGTAGTTAGAAGAAAATCTTGATTTAAAGTTGTTTAATTTTTTTTATATTCTTTAAATCAAAAATTTGATTTATCCAAAATAATATGATTGGCTAAAATGAATTTTTAAAGAATATGAAAGATTTTATTAAGTAAAGGTTTTTTAGGTTTTTAAGTAAAGTTGTAGAGAAGATTTTTTTAGTTTTAATAATAGTTGAATTATTAAAATTGGTTTGATAGATCTCAAGATATTTAGGATTAAAGAAGTAAAAATAGAGATTTACAAATTGCTAATTATGTAAAATTATAATTTAAATTAAATTATAATTTTTATATAACTGGTAATTTATAGATCTCTATTTTTGTTAAATATTTTAAGATCTACCAAGTTAATTCTGATAATTTAACTACTATTAGGATTAGAAAAGTTTTATTTAAAAACCCAAAAGATTTTGTTTAGTAAAATTTTTTATATTCTTTAAAAATTCATTTTAGCCAATTATTTTATTATTTTGAATAGGTTAGATTTTTGACTTAAAGAATATAATAAAAAATTAAACAATTTTAAATCAAGATTTTTGTTAACTACTTGGTATTAAAACTTGTAATTTTGATCAAAAAATTATAAAATTCTATTTAATGAATTTATATTTAAAGTTTAAAATTATATTTTATATTTATTTTTCTGAAAAAATTAAAAAAACATCATCAGCAAAATATATAAACATAATTTTATGAAAGTTATTATGCTCTGAAAAATTCTGCAATAATTACGATTAATACAGAATATTTCAAAATTTTTAATTACGAAATATTACAAAATATATTATGAAATATTACAAAATATATTACAAAATATTACGAAATTTATTACAAAATATTTTGATGAGATTCGCACTAATTCGATTTTATTCGAAATATGCAAAATTTGCTACTTGACTAGACAGTATTAAAAAAATTTTTATAAAATAAA